CACAGCTTTTTGGTGATAGGAACCAAACTTATCTTCCTACCAAATTCTGTATAGTATGCTAGTAATAGATCCAACGAGAGAGTCATCCCCAGCCTATAAACCATGGGGAGATGCCCATCAGACCCTGCTGCCTTCCCCTTCGTTAGCGATTGAATAAAGCAATAACATCCGGTGAGCCGTAACAAGCGAAGTAGTCTTTGACTGTTCCCTGATGCAAAAGCTACTTCCATTTCACTAACTCTTTTTGAATACCAGTTTTTGTAATGTTTCTCTACCCGAGCTCGTATTGCAGAAGTCACCGTTTCGTACGTCAATCTTAGCATATCCGTACTACANAACTGACCCAGTGATCGTCCGTTATTCGTCATTTACTGATATGCCAAGGAAATACCTCGAGGACAGACGCGGCGCACTCACGTGGCTTATAATACTAGGATCCTGAATTCGTGTCTCCAATAGGCAATAGACATCAATTTCCAAAGAGTTCATCGTATGCGCAAGATAGGCTTGTTGGCTCACTTGCTTCAGACTTCGTACGTTGAAGGTCCCAGATTGACGGATTCCTGGGCTTCGGAATCTGAAATGTATTTAGTGTCGCTTTGCTCAGAGTACTACTTGTCAACATTCTTTGGTGAGCGAAAGCCAAGTTGCTTGAGGGATTGTTACTAGTCTGATGAAAGGGGCAAAGGAAGAGGGATTTCCATAGACAACTAAGATCAGTAGCCCACTTATCACTTCCCATTCGGCTCGATGCAATCAGCAGCGCGGTCNGTCCTGATTATCCTGCGCGATGACCGATGCAGTATGAAGTTATTCTTAGTTTGTGTTAATTTAAGCGTCATGGACGGGTACTACTAGGGTGTCCAGTCACCAAGCAGGAGAACGATTAGGTTTCTCAACCAAAGCCTTTGGTTCTGGCAAGAACCTGACCACAAGGTAGGGGGTGAAGCGAAGTGGAGGCCCATTTACTTAGGTCGGTTATTCTTGCCTCATTTCTATCGACTGANATCGACTGAGATGCCAACTCTAGTCGAAATCCAACCGGAAGGACCAGACGCCTGGAATTTGTCTCACCGCAATCCCTTGATCTTCTAGGCACCCTTTAGTGCACCATAGGAGAAATACGCCACACTAGGGACCGCAATCATTATGTTAGAGTACTGAGACCTGTCCGCTTTCTTTTACTTACCACAACGGGAGCCATTTTCTACACAACCGATCTCCATGTGTTCGTAACAATTTGTGCACATCATTAAACTTCTTTGATACCTCCCCCCACTCACAAAGCTCTCGAACATGCATTAGAAGAATGAACAAAAAACAGTTTTTATTCCGTTATTTTTCTCTTGATGTAGTTCTATGAAACTGCTTGTAATTTTTTTAAATAATGTGGATGTATCCTTGTTGTATCCTTGTTGTCCTTTCTTATGTGCCATTCACAGTGCAAATCTCTACTACCTTTATTTGTTGGGATGTGCTTCGTTCGCTAGATGGTTTTTGCGCAATCTGATTGCGTCTAATAATTTTAGTAACCTCAACAAAATGCACTTGCACGTTCTGTTCCGCTCGCTGAACACAGCACAAGCTGCTGGTCACACCACTTTCGGTGGGTCATGTGTAACACGGTTAATGTGTTTGTCGGTTTGTGTATGGACGCATGATCATTACGTTTGCATAACTCTATTCCGGTGTACATTTAATTCACCTACTGGAATGTTCGGTTTACTAGGTCTTTCTCAACCAGTTAGCTTTACGCCAAGAACTGCCAATCGGAATCGATTGACTCCAAGTAGTTGTAAATAGAAAATATTTGTACGTCTGTGCTGTCGGACACTGCAATACAGAATTGGGNGGGGGGGGGGGATTTGTGTGTGTGTGTGTGTGTGTATGTGTGTTCGATCACGATCCACCGTTGTCACAGTGAAATCAAAACATCTGCGATTCACTTAAATATATGCACGCGTTTAGGAATGTGGATACGCGTGTCCACCGGAACAGCTGTAGTCCTGAGATAACGGGTTTTATAGAGCAGAAAGAACACGTTGATAAAACGTTGTGTATTGGCTTGGTATCGGTCAGCTGTTCGTAAAAATTTAAACGATCTTTTAGTGGGCAATATCTTGTTCATGTTGTTACCATTTTTCTGAAAGACAGGTTAATAGTTCGGCACTCACCAGGAGAAACAACCTAGAACAATAGAAATATAGANAGACAGGTTAATAGTTCGGCACTCACCAGGAGAAACAACCTAGAACAATAGAAATATAGACTGTCATAGAGTGAATTTCAAGTAAGGCGTGTAAATTAATAAAGCATCAGTTACATAGGAGAATAACTATCGGGAATAGCAAGTGAAAAAACCTTACTTATCGCACTTCTGGGTTATTAAGAGATGAAATTCAAATTGGGGCAATGGGTAGTCACGTGGGTTAGACGTGGATACACGTTTATGACGGTACGGCAAAATCCATTAATTCATAAACTATTTTTTCATGCATCGATCAGACTTCACCAAAATCCAACAAAACCTAACGTATTTAGGCCCCTAACTAGCTCGAACCGCCGCCATCCTGTCGAAATGATGTCCCAGATACCACAGATGATACGTAATCGTGCTTTTCGGAGTCTTTGAACCTCAAGTAAACAATTTATTAAGGATAGATATGCTCATCTTAGTTAAATTCTTCCGATGTAATGCGATCCAAAGATGCATCGACGATGATAATTATATTCGTGGTGAACTGGAACACCGGATTTCTGCTTGTTAAATCCGATTCGTATGAGGTTGCTTATTTACAAATGGTGGTCTTGAGAGCAGTGGTTAGACAGTTAATATTTCTATTCATCGCGTCACTCTCTGCTATGAATTCCACTAATCATGATGATAATAACATCAGTTGCTGTTTGGTAGCGTATTTGGATAAAACAGTAGAGGGAAGATTTGAATGGTAAAAGTAGTGCCAGGGTGAAAAATCGAAATTCATGAAGATTAAAGTTGTTGGTAGACTGAGAACGTGTAAAGGCGACATCGTTTGCTACACTCACTTTGTCGAACCATTGGTTACGCTGATCTTGAATTCCAGATCTAGGAAGCCTAGCAATAACAGCAATAATAATATTAGCCACGATACTAATAACAGTATCAACAATATAAATGCTAATAAGAATACTAAAATAATATTACTACTAATAATAATCCTTTTGGGATCATCAGATGTTTACATTTTCGGAGTCAAAGTTACACCATGTGTACGGGAAAATAAAAGAGAATAAGCATTATCAGTCCGTTATCCGTTATTGTTGTGGCGTTGGCACCAAACTTGCCCACATTCCGGATATATATATATATATATATATATATATATATATATATATATATATATATATATATGAGCACGCTAGTTGTATATATTTTCTTATTCGTTCTTACAGGAATTCAATGTTGATTGGATTTATGCTTTTCTTTGAGTCTTACCTATCCATGTAATTGGAAATGTTTCTCACGTTTCGAAAACAAAACCAGAGTATTTAATTTTGACCATTCGTTTTACCACTGAGCAACCAGTAACCGATCAAGTGGCAGAATGCTGGTTCCTGTTCACCACAAAACATGCATTCATCATTATTATTATTATCATTATCATCAATAATATTATCATTAGCCTCGTTTATTGATTCACCTGACACGTTCTTTTTCGCGTTGTTCACAGGCCAACACCTATTGAAATATCTAAAACCAATAAACGTAAGGGTCTCATCCTTGAAAAGTACATCGGTCATCAGCTGCTATGCACCAATCAGAAAGATGCATGTGTGATAACTGTACAGGCGAACAGCTCATATCGAGGATTACCGGAAGTATATCTTCTCCAGGAAGGATGTAGAGTGATCGGTGAATTGATACAGGTTAGTTTCACCGGAGAGTTATCATCGATATACTAGTTGATTATTTGTCGTTTTTCGTTGTACATTGAGGCTTGGCCACACGGTGAAACATGTTTCTTAGTCCGAACAATGCGGTCTCTAGTCAGCAAGAATTATTACCCGATATATTTGTCTATAAGTCGGCCGATAGTTCTTTTCAACCTCGAGTTTATTGACTATCGCTCAATCCGCCTCAAAACGACGTATTCCAACTAACAGATTTGCAAACGTTTTGGTTCTGTTGTTCGCCTATAACTGTAGTCTGTGTGAGCCGGGTCTTTTCGAACGGAGGCGGAGTGCAACGGCACTATCCACTCATGGGGAAAGCAAAGTACATGTGTATTGTAGTAACCCGGTTTTGCGGGGCGAAGGTCCGTTTTCGCAAACCCTATGACTGCCTATGTTACCGTTCGCACAACAATCTAAACAAGGTGACTAATTCGGTCCCAGTTTGGATCAGTGTAAGAATTTTCGACGAATACTGTGTGTTTGTTTGTGTGCGTGTGTGCATGTGTGTGTTGAAGAAAATGCATATTTTCCACAACAATCGATGGAAATGTGGTGGGGGTTGTAATCGAACTTGAATTAAGGTCCGTCTACTGCACACGATTGCCGTATAATAACGTCCATTTTGAAAGTGGTTTTCAATCTTAAACCATGCACCCTGTTTAGGCGGATGAAACCAATAGGTTTAAGTAATCATTTCTACTTACGACTTCAGTAAAGTTAATTTATTTCTCATCTTTAAATCATAGTTACTTATGATGCGGATTATTGATTTTGACTGGCCATCCTCCAGATTTGATCTGTATACACGATTCCCAGTTGAGTCTCGCTTAACAAGCCTATTGCAGAATGTATACCGCAAACCTTCATGGAAGACGTATTTCGATCGAAGGCTTTTTATTGGTGAACAGGTGAAATGCTGTGTCACCCTACGAAGCTGTTCGGCCAAAATAACTGATTCACCATATTGGAAGACGGCATGCGAGCACATCTAAATTGATAACTATGGTCAACTGTAACTGGATTGAGTTGGCACTCGCCTATCATGCAACGGATTTGAATTTCAAATCCTGATCGGGTCGGTAAATAAACACAATCAATATAGTCTAGCAAGAACGAAACTTGTGTCAAATGCTTCCCAAGTAGATGTGCTACTGGATACATTGTAAATCGCGTGTGTTGATGGAGTCAGTCCAGATCAGTGTGATGTTCTTTATTGTATAGACAGTAAATATGATGACACTTGATCGTTAGGCGAAATACATGTATATGTTTGCATCAATGTCTGTACAGACTACAGGATTGAATAATAGAACGATTACCATTTTTGAATAAGGTCTATCAAACATGTTAAAACGGTAATGCATTGAGAATCTCCTGGATGAAATTATAATTTATTCGAAAAGTACACGGCTGGGGTAATATTCTACCTCACCCAAGTAATAGTAGCTGATGATTATGTTTTTGTATTTTAGTAATCTGATAATGGGCACACTAATATAATAATTTATTGATAATAATGGTTGCATAATAGTTATCTGGAAAGTGTTGTTATGGGACATATAACACTAGCTAAATGTCCGGTGAAATTTATCGGCGTTTATCAGATCATTACTTATTGTGAGCCTTGGTCCGTACTTTCGAAGTGGAAACCCTGAGACGAAAGCTGTTTAGTGTAACGACAAAAAAGTAAATTTTAGTTTGGTTCAATTTTAAAATTGGATCCTGGTGTCAATCAAGGGGTTAAAATACTTTACTTGCCGGTGCACAAATCCTCCTCCTCCTCCTCCTCCACCACCATTTAATAAGAGGTAGCGGGATTTCTCGTGAAACTATCTGTCAGTTCATCATTTCACAACATACAAAGTCATGCTTTTCGTCATCAACTAAAATCATAGACAACCCTTCACATCCGTTACATCACGATCTTATCAAGTAAGTTTCCTTCTCTTCCACCTGGTCCCGCTATAATTGTATATTTGCTCATACGACCACCTGTCGGTCTTCTGTGGTGCCTATCTTGCCCGTTTTCTTGTCAGCCTAGAACGCATCGCTTCGGAGCTTGACTCAGTCACATCGTAAATTTTCTTTTTTTTTTACTTACGATAATTTTGCTATAATTTCTTTCGATAATTGTTGGTTGACTATGTGACTGCTGAATATCCACGTTTCGGGGTGCATAAAGCAAACACTTGAAAAAAAGAAGAGAAAAAAGACTCAACAATATAAACAATCTCGTGACCACTCTTTCCCCGATTTGGCCACCTGATGACTTGACTTGACTTGACCATCACCAATCACCAATTTTTTTTCTGTTCTGATGTAGAATAGTTTTAAATACCTAGCTACAATAAATTACACCGTGAACTTGACTGGGGCTATCCGATCCCCGTATGCATTTCGTGAGCAATTATCGAGGCACGTTCAGCGTCGGATGTTGGCCACAGCAGGAACAGTGGGACCCCTTTGCACAACCCTTTCCTCCATTCCTTCCGTGTGCCCCCAAAAACGTTAGTGGGGGAGGGGCTTAATCTTCCCAGATTAACCACACACACACACACACACACACACACACACACACACACACATACGCACGCACCGCATCACGAATAATCCCGATGATCAGTTGGGTTAACAAACAACTATCTGATCATCGTGAATCCGATTTCCGGCCTCAAGATTAACTATATCCTATTAATCTTTGATATGATTTTCATTTTATTTCCCCAAGACAATTTCATTCCCAATTATATATATATATATATATATATATATATGGTGATGCATCGGTAGGATTATGAATGCCTAAAAACGAGTTTTTTAGACACTGTTCTTTTGTTTGAAACGTGTCCTGTGGAACTATTCCAACAAAAAATTAAAGGGCATTCATTGTTTTTTGTATAAATTTGTCCTCCCTATGACCTTTGTTGTTGTATATTTGCTAAAGTCATCCAATTCTCATCGGTTATCATTTTCTCGTTTTCTTTTTATTCAAAGTCCTCGCGTCTTATTGATACGGGCGTTGGAAAAATCGTCCTACATCCAAGCCGAGTGAACCTCCAACAAAGCCCATGGGCGTCACTCAGAAAGCGTCTGAAGTATTTAGACGACCGACTGATCCCGGTTCATATGCATCGATTCAGTCTTCTCATTCCCATTCCACTGGCCGGTATTAATGCGAAATCAGGAGACTATTTCCGCCCTCTCGTTCCCAGACCACGCGGAAAAATTGAGTCCAAGATTTCTAACGAATGCGTATTGAGCTGGTTACAACTGCGCGCTCCCGGAGCAGAGGATGCACAATGTGTTCGATATGCGCTCAAGTGTCAATCACCCAGCCTTCCGGTACACCTAGATCGTACTATACAGTGTTTAGATTTGCCGTTTGATTACACTCAGTGGATTGCTTCACGTGAAATTAAAGAATAAATCTTTGTTCTGCTTACATAATTTGTAAGATTATCCGTCTGGTTACCCAATCCATCCATCCATCCATCCATCCATCCATCCATCCATCCATCCATCCATCCATCCAT